CGCTGCCTCCCGTTGCGATGCTCTCCCACATCCACACCTGCTGTTTTGTTCTCACTAATTGCAGCTGGGGAGTGTAGTGGCTTCCGGTCCCTGTTGGAGTCGGCATTGATGGGTGGTGGGAACAGCCGGGTGGGCTTTGTTTCCCTGTCTCTGTCACTCTCCCATATTCCGGGATTTGATAAATATCCCGATCCTGAAATGAAAAGAGCGGCCTCTCGAACATTCCTCTCCAAGGTTTTTGTTTTAGAGTGGCATGGTCCCCTGGGACCCCTCCCCAGCTTTCTGTAGTAAAGGCCAGTGTTCTCTGCGGAGGGGACTTGGGGAATTGTCTGGGGTCCTCAGTCATTAAGTCGCTCGTTTATTGATCAACTACTAGAGTCACAAATCAGAGCATTTTAAGACTGGTTCCTGGAGATGATCTAACCCGTTTTCCTCATCTTGCGTCTGAGAAAACACAGGCCCCAACTGTTGCTTCTGGGCTGAGCAATAATACAAAATAACATGAGACTTAGTCCGCGTTGCCCATCTGCCTCCATCCCTCCCCCACCCCCCTCTACCACAAACTGTGCTAAAATGTGTTGGTGGACAACAGCTGTCATTTTATTTAATTTTATAAACAGCTGATACTTACTGAAGCCATACTATGTGCGAGACACTGCTTTTAGCACTTTTCCTGTATTAGTCTGTTTCGTTGTCATTAAAACCCAAGAGGTGGGTGCTATTATTAGTAGAGAGTATCTAGGCTTTATAATTAGTCAGACCTTTAAATTTTGGGACCATCATTTGCTAGTTAAATTTAAACCTCATATATAAAATGGGGGTGGTAGTGCCTCCAGCCCTCAGTAAATAGTTCTAGGTGAAAGGAACAAGTAGGGGAACAGATGAATTACGCGCTCAGAAAAATACACATAATTAAGAAATACCAGTCAATAAAATGTTAACAAAATCCAGGGGCCTGTGTGTTTTGTCCGAGCCTGTGACATGAGCCTTTTGGTTCATTCGTTTTCCCATCTGGGAAATGAGGATAGTAATATTTGCCTTATAAGATTGTTCTAAGGATTGGATGGGAGAATAATATGCCCAGTGCCTAGCACAATGGCATGAAGCTAGTGATCACCCCATACATGGCAGCAGTTTCTGTTTGCTCTTGAGGTACTTGAAGGGCAAATGAGGAATGCATTGTCATTTGGCTGTGGGGTGCTCTGGGGTGACTGTTAAGTCCTGTTCCAAGATCTGCCCTTTGAACAGGACAGCCAGTGTGAAGTACAGATGACTCAGTTTGAACAAGGATATCTTGACCCCAAAGGGCAGCAGAAAGAGCTCTCTCCACCATCAGCCCCAGCCAGAAAATTCCTCACTGTCTAATGGGAAGGCACAGTGGACAGAAGGAGCTGCTGGCTGGGTGCAGATGCATCTGTCCACAGTCACACTGTCTATGGGCATGAGTCATGGGCTCTGTCCTCAGATGTGGAGGGCAAGGACAGGGAACAACATGCCATCAGACCTATCTCATGGGGTGAGTGGAACTGTGTTTTAGAAGGATGGTTGAGCCTAACTCTTTTTCCATTATAAGCTCTATGTTAACTCAGGCAAACTCTACTAATTATTTTTTCCAACTTAGAGGAGTATGTGTTGACCTCTGCTCTGTACCAGGCACTGTGTTAGGTTCTGGGAAGACAGAAAGAAAAGACATGGTTTCTGCCGTTGGGCAGTTTATAGCTCCCGGGATACATAGGCAAGGAAGTAGCACTATCAGGTGCAAGCTGGTGCTACGGCTTTATTTGCACACGCGTGTGACACACGGCCAAGGCGTGTGTCGTGGTCTGAGTATAAGCTCATGAATTTTTCTCATTGGAAGGCCTCTTGACAGATGACTCATGATCTTGTTTTCTTTTTTAATATATCATTTATATTCATCAGGATGGATTAGGTTATGCTATTTATATGAACAATCCCTAAGTCTCTGTGGTTTAACTAATAAGGATTTCTTTCTTTCTTTCTTTCTTTCTTTCTTTCTTTCTTTCTTTCTTTCTTTCTTTCTTTCTTTCTTTCTTTCTTTCTTTTCTTTTCTTTTCTTTTCTTTCTTTTCTTTTCTTTTCTTTCTTTCTCAGAGAGAGAGACACAGCGAGAGAGGGAACACAAGCAGGGGGAGTGGGAGAGGGAGAAGCAGGCTTCCTGCCAAGCAGGGAGCCCGATGCGGGGCTCGATCCCAGGACCCTGGGATCATGACCTGAGCCGAAGGCAGACGCTTAACGACGGAGCCACCCAGGCGCCCAATTAGGGTTTATTTCTTACTCATGTAACACATTCATCTGCAGTTGGTATGTGTGTATGTGGAGGGTTTCTGCTCCATGTTACTCACACTCTGGGACCCGGGCAGGTCCCACTCCCTGGAATGTCCTAGAGCACAGTGGCTGGAGAAGTTGGAAACAGGGGAATCATGTTCTGGCTCTTACCAGGCTTTTGCTTATAGTCGGTTGGTCAAAGGCAGACACACCGTCGCTGTTCACTTCCAGGAGCTGGGGAAGATCGGGTCTACCTGGGACTGGGACCTGACAGCCTTAGATTATTCTGACCAACTTCGCATTTGAATTCCTAAGCTAGAGGATATAACGAAACAGTGCATTGAAAGAGGAGCTTGAGAAGGTGGCCAGAAACATGAAAAGGAGTGACAGCCTGACGTCTAGGAAAAGTACAGGGAAGTCATTATCTATAGCGATAAGGTCAGATAGCTCCATTGTGTAGAGCTGATGACCTGGACACCTTTGTAACTCCTGAGGACACACAATGCTGTTGCAGGATAGTACAACTTAGTGCCACACAGGGCCTTGGCCAGGCACCGAGCCAGGCTTGGGGATACGTAAATTACTGGGATCATTAATATATTTATTATATGGGTTATAAGATGAGGGAAGTATCTTTTCACTTAGTTAAAACTAAATGTAACAAAAACAGTAAGCCTTTTATTACCTAAAAAAGTCACTTAGGGGCCCCTGGGTGTTTCAGTTGGTCAAGCGTCTGACTTTTGGTTTCCGCCCAGATCATGATCTCAGGGTCGTGAGGTTGAGCCCCATGTCGGGCTACATGCTCAGTGCAGAGTCTGCTTGAGATTCTCTCCCATTCCCTCTTCCCCTCTCCCCCTGCTTTCTCTCTCTCAAAATCAAGAAAATCTTAAAAAAAGAAATCACTTAAATGGAACTTGGGTAAATTGAGGCATTGCTGTTTATAGTTTTCCGTTTCTTCATGGCTAGTTTGTAAGTGCTTGATCTTTTGGGCAGACTCTGTCTCCCTTGTTCCTTTTTTTTCCCCTTGTTTATCTGCTTATGATTGTTGAGAATTTCCAGTAATGTATTGAAAATTGAGCTACTTTGCTGTAAGTATGTATGGACACATGCACACACACTTTTTCTATTAGGAGAAATATGGCCTTCAGCAAGCAAAAGGTCATTAGTTGGGGTCAGAGAGGACCCAGGACATCATTTTGGAATAGTCTTACTTGGTATCTCTGCTCTGTTCTCTTTCTCAGCACGCTGTTCGACATCCTTTATACAGGTGGCTGGGAAGAAAGCTCCTTAAATACCTTGGGCTCGCTTTCCCGGAGATCTGCACTAGCTAATCAGTCAGACAAACATTTATCAAGCATGGTTTATATCCCCCAAGGCTTGGTGGAAAAAGAAAGAGAAGTGTAAGGTCTGGCCCCCATGCTCTAGGAGTTTACAGCGTGGAGATGGGGAGAGAAATCATTATTTGCCTGCTTTGTGCACACACTGTTCCAGGCTGATAGCGCCTCATTTAACCCTACAGTAGGCTTCAGTAGCTGCCAGTTTTTCTACTTTAGGATGAAGCTAACTTTGTCATGCTTCCATAGTAAGTGGCAACATTTGCATGTGAAGCCAGGGTTCTCTTTAAGCCCATTCTGCCCGAGGCACTTGGGTGGCTCAGTCAGTTAAGCGTCTGCCTTCGGCTCAGGTCATGATCTCAGGGTTCTGGGATCCAGCCCCGCATCGGGCTCCCTGCTCCGCGGGGATTGTGCTTCTCCTTCTGCCCACCCCCGTCCCCCCGCTCACGCTCGTGCTCTCTCTCTCCCAAAGTCTAGTCTGCCCTTGCTATGATATCTGCCAGCCAACACAGAGCATTCAGAGATTCCTCTAAAGCAGAGTAGGATCTCAGGAGGACAGATTTTTCTCTTCAGCACTTGCATTCCCAGTGACCACACGGGAGCCTGGCTTAGATACTGTGATGATTAAGAAAGGCTCCTGCCCTCAAGGAGTGAGCAGTCTCCTCACCGCTGTGAAACTGACAAGAAGTGCATCAGGTCAGCGCAGGGGGTCTGTTACCACGGGCGCCGGCCCAGACAAGGGTGCCTCCCTTGCATGGAGTTCACGAGAAGTTCTGAGGGCGCTCTGCCCGGCTGTGACCCTGCGTGACTGGGTTTTAGCCAGTCATTCCTACGCTCCTGCACAGCGGCAGGAGAAGGACAGGAAGGAGCGAGCACCTTGGGAGATGAGGTAGAAAGCCCCATCAAGATGCTGTATGAACAAGATGGGCTGCATGCAGATGCCAGCCTCAGGATGGAGAGAAGTGCTTGGTCTTCGCAGTGCTAAGCATGGGGAATAAAAGAGAGGGAGGAGCCTGAGAGGATCTGCACATTCCTGGCTTGGACAGCTAACTAGCCGGGTGGTGGTGGACCAGGAGGGGGACCAGATTGAGCAGAAAAGATAATCCTGTTTCAGACAGGACAATACCGTGGGCTTAGGAGTCAAGCCCTCTGAGTTCTCTATTATTAGCTTAGATTCCTGTAATATGGGGATAGAAATTGTACCTCCCCCCATAGGGGTTTAATAAGGATGAAATGAAGTCATGCACATACGGCACTTAAAGTTTGACACATAGGCACTGGCTGCGGATAATTACTAATAACCAGTAGTTAATAGCTGATGAAGATGGACAAAATATAGCTTACTGCAGTGGGGGATTTTTAATTTATTTGTTTTGTAGTTTTATAGTTTTATTAACCCAAATGCAATGTGCACGTAAGCTGTCTTGCTTTCTTCAATGTGCAGCCTGGCATTGGGATTGGCTGGCTGGGCTGCTCTTTCCATGGTGGGTTTGTAGCAGCCACTGTGATCTGTCTCTGCACCGTGAGACGTGTGGCTCATCAGCAGCATGTCACGCTCCTTGACGCTGTGGACTAGGAACTTCCGGAAGCCACTGGGCAGAGTGTGCTTTTTTTCCTTGTTGCTCCCGTAATCAGTGCTGGGCATCAGGATCTGGCGCCTGAGTCTTCTGTGCACCCTGCTGTCTGTGCCTCTGGGTTTCCGCCGGTTGCGCTTAATTTGGACATACTGGTCTGAATGGTGCCTGATGAACGTCTTGGTCCTCTTTTTAATCATCTTGGGCTTCACCAGGGGTCTGAGTAGGAGATGGCTGCCCCCTCCCCGGGTAGCGCCGAGGAAGAGAGTACAGTAAGGAATAGAATATCTGGTAACCTGTATTCTCATTTTCAAGAGTTGGGGCCAAGTGCTATATAGGAGCAGATAAAGGAATAAAAGTTAATCAGATATCTGTTATATGGTCAGGCTCTATGCCAGATCCTACCCTAGGTATTTTGCAAAATTTTATTGACTATTTTAACCATCCCATTAGAGCAGGCTGAATAGATCCAAGAATGTATAATGATTCAAGAGGTTTATTTCTCATTCCCCAAAAGAGTCGGTTGGGGAGAGTAGAGGAGAGGGGGGTGGTGTGTCTGCTCCACGCAGTGACTCAGGCCCTTGTATGGTCTTGAAGCTCTGGACACTGATGTCCAGCCAGCACGGGGCAAGGGCATGAGCATCCTTGCCGCTCACGTCCCACTGGTTAAAACTGAGTCCCAGCATCAGACCTCACTGCAAGGAGCCTGCAAATGGTCTCACCCCATGTGCAGAGCTTGGCAAACAGCTAGCTCTCTCCACAAAGGGCCCAACTTATAGGTGAAGGAGCTGAGTTTTGGAGAAATGGATACATTTCTTGAAGGATTATTTATGGAAGGCAAGAGGGACGTCAGGGGGATATGTGGGTGAAGTGAAGTGGATTTAGTGGGATTAGGTAATTAATAAAGGAGGGATATTTGCAGTCAAGGTAGTTGAGGCATCTCCTGGATGGTGTCCCAGGCTATGAGCTGGTGCTAAGGAGGCACGGTGGTGAGGGATGTTGGCACCTGAAGCTAAGGACTAGGAAACCCCGTGTGTGGATGAGTAGCCACGGGCCTGTTGGAGCTGCTCTGGATGGCAGTATAACTGGAAAGGGAAGGAGAACCCAAGATTTGTCAGAAATGGCAGAGGAATGCAGAGTTTATGGCCAGAAAGTCCAAACTTCAGACAAGTCACCCAGAGCATTTCTTTGTGTGGAATAACTTACTTATTTAGCCCTGCCATGTGCACACTGTAGGATGGTAGAGAGCTTGGAGCTCATGTGCCCTGCGGGGGAGAGAGAAAATGAGATGCGGTGATGGGGCGAACCAAAACCGGCTGTCGTGATCCACACTTTTGGATTATAGAGGTTATGGGAGCCCATGTGAACTTGGAGGTTGTTTGGCATCTGGATCAGGCTGCCGGTGAAAGGGAAAGTGCAGTTCTCTTCTCATGGGTGGTTTTTGAAGTTGCTTTTGAGCGCAGGGATAAATCAGTCTATCGGCCCATGTTTATTGAACACGTACCATGTGCCCCCAGATTTGCAACACTGGTTCCTAGGATGGCGATGAGAAACGGGCGTAAGGTATAACCCACCACCTGAACCGGAGCCTGCTTGTAGCGAGGACACACTCCTGGGGAGTGGGCAAGGGCCTGAGGGTCCTTTCGGCATCTGAGGGAGTCGGTGATCGATCACAGCACCCAAAGCCCCGGGAGGTGGGACCGCCTGGGTTCTCATCCGCTGAGTTCTGTGAGCCGTTGTCAAGTCACTGGGCTTGCTGGTCCTGGGTGTCTCATCTGTTTAAAAATAAACCAAAGAGCATGGGCAAGGCTTCTTTGTTTTCATTATTCAATAAGTATTTGCTGTGTGCCATCTGTTCAGGTCTGTGGGGCCCAGAAGGGTAGGACGCAGAGCTGCTGTCCTCAAGAAGCGAAGGAGTGAGATTAATCCGTGCAGAGGGAAAAGGCAAGCTTGTACAGAATGTCAACAGATATTTATGAGAACCTCTGCCTTACAAGGCTCTGCGCCCAGGGCCACGGCAGTAGGTAGGCTGCCTCCTTCCTGCCCGCTCTCCATCCCTTGCAATCTTGTGCAGCTGCCCTGAGCTCCCCCTCTCCCCTCCTCCTCTCCCTCTCCCTCTTCCTCTTCTCCTCCCCCCCTTCCCCTTCTCTCTCCTTATTCATTCAGAAAGTATTCATTGAACACCTCCAGTTTATCAGGCTCTGGAGAGACAACCATGAACGAGTGCACAGGGTCCCTGTCCCCATGGAGCAAACATTGTCTTTGGAGTGACAGACTGTCAACAAGCCAACAGGGCAGGTTCACATCTTCCTTATGTGTCCTGGATAAGCCAGAGGCAGCAGTTTGTGGGGTCATGCTGGATGGGAAGGTATTGGCAGGGGTGGCATCGTGCTGAGTCCTAAGGAGGCAGAGGAGCTGCCCCGGGACTGGGGGACCAACATCTAACATGAGGGTCGAGGCTTAGCCACGACAGCAGGAACTGAAGGGACCACGGTGACGGGCGTCTCGAAACTCAGGAAGATGGAGGGGGAAGAGTGCATACACATCGAGACACACGTTAAGAAATGTTAGACCCCTTCCTTTACTAGTCCCTGGCACATAGTAGGTGCTCAGTAAATATTTGTGAAAGGTTGAGTGCATCCATACACACCAGCTCTTTGAACCCCCTTCTCTCCCAGCTGCCTCCTCCAACCTTCCAAGGCAAAACTTTTTACTAAAAGGTCTTCTCCCACTTTTTGCATTAAAATGCCCTGGCTGCATAAGGGCATTCATACACACGAATAAACCTTGTAAACCAGCACTCTGACCTCACCTGCTATATTGGCTGAGCCCTGGGAGCCCCCTGGTTGGAATCCTGAGCCCCTCACTCCTTTGTGCTCCACCTTCAATAGGAAGGGAAATGCCGTTTATTTTGCTCTTGTAAACTGGCCATTGTGCCACAGGGAGATTTTAATATTTGTGCTAGTGTGAGTAAGTATAGTCCTATCCTGTTTTTATAGGGGAGACACTAAGGCACACACTGTCCAAGGTCAAGTGAGCTGTGGAGCTGGGGTCTCATCCTGAGTCCTCTGCCTGTAAAGGCCCCTTTTCCGCACGCCGCACCACGCTGTCCCTGTCCCCCCCATCTCCTTCCCCCCTTTCCTCAGCCTCCCCATCTGTCAAACGTGGATGATGATTTTGTCCTACCTTACCGCCCACCCCCTCGACAGTACTGACCTAGCAGGAAGTTGTAAGGCATAACCAGTAAAAGTGACAATAAAGCATTTTGCCAACAGAAGGTGTGCTGCTGAATGTTAATTCACAGTAGAGCCTGTCTGTGATGTGAGGGCACATCTATTACGTGGCTGTTTAGCCAGCGGTCTTCTTCCTGCCCCCCAGCTCGGGGAGGAAGCAGAGGCCGGCTCCAGCAGCGCCAGCTCTGTCCTCTATATTTTTGCTCCGTTTCCCTTCTGTGATCTCTCCACATGTGGATTCGGTGATGCTGCAACAACTCAGAAGCTCTTTTGCACTGTGAATTGGGTTCGGCAGCCACGGGAACAGAGGGCACCATGCTGGGTATTCAGCCATTAACGCGGTAGGGGCTGCCCTGAGGGTCTCCTGGTCTAGAGAGACGAGAGGGGCAAGTGCATGACCAAGTGCAGCGAGCAGTGGGAAAAGGCCAAACACGGAGCCCCATGGGAGGAGAGGGAGGAGGCAGCCAGGGAGCCTTCCGCAAGGAGGGACATCTGCGGAGCTTGAGAGGCTGGTCCCGTGCAGGGGTCAAGAGCTTGGACTCTGGAGCCCCCCTGCCACTTTCTGGCTGGGTGACCCTAGGCAAGGTATTTGATATTTCTCCCTCGCTGTAAAATGGAGATGGTAAGACTTGTACCTCACAGGGTGGTTTGGGGCATTCAATGAATTAATATATGCACGGGACTTAGGACAGGATCTGATGCATAAGTACTTGACATTTTGCACACACAGGCATCCATACCTGCAGAGGCCTGTAGGGGGGTGTATCTGCAAAGGGCTGAGGTGGGTGGGACACAAGGTCCTAGGCAATTGTCTGGTGGGGAAGGCCCTGGTGTGTGCCCGCTGAAGGACAGACTACGTGGAAACTACTGAGCCTCAGCGGTATGTCTTTGACACTCAGTGTGGGTCTGCGTCTTCATGTGTACATATACAGATGTGTGTGGGGGTCTGTATGTGTATTTACGTACACATAATGACCTTCACCCGGTGTCTTAGCTCTAGGGACAGACTGAGTGAGGAGAATGACTTGAGGGACAGAGGCCCCCAGGGGAGAGTGACAGTCCCTCTGACCAGCCCTTCCAGGAGAGCATTCTGGAATTCGAGATGGCGGAGTGAGAGTAAACTATGTCATGGAGAGGATGTTGATTTTGGGGGTCAGACAGACCTGACTTAGAATCTTGGCCTCAACACTATCCATCTAATCTATCTATCTAATCTGTCTATCTACCTACCTATCGATCGATCAGTCGATTGTCTATATCAGCCATCCATCTATTGATATCAATGTCCATCTGCTGTCTGTATCTATCTGTCCATCAAGCCAAACTGCCTCTTGAGGGTGAAAGCCTGTGTGCTACCCCGGCCGCTGCCCCCTCACGGTTTCCTGTTGGCCTGTGATTTTCACTCATTTCCTGCACAGGCCACAGGGGGCGCTCGCTGTCGGGCTGGAGTTTCCATCACCTAGACTCATTCTGTTTGCAAAAAACAGTGCAGGCATCCAAACACCAGGCCACGCTTTGTGTGCTCATTTAAAGAGAAAACTGAATGCAAAAGAGGGCATGTGTGGAGATAATTGGACTCAGGAGGGTTGCGGGTTTTTGGAGGTGATGAGCGGTTGATGGTCTCATAAGAAGTGCTTATGATGGTCTACAAATGCTGAGCAGCCGGATTCCTACTTCTGAGGCATGTCTCCCCAAGGTCGTCCTCACGAGGCGAACCCTCCTGCTCTCTGCCGAAGCGTGAGGCCAAGCTCTCACGGGGCATTCGTGTACCTGTGAACATGCGTGCCCCTCTGGGGACGTCCCTTGTGCAAAAGGCAGAGGAGCTCCCGCCCTGGTTGCAGCTCTGTTTTGGAACTTCATTTTCATGGCCAGCCTCTTCCCTGAAGTTGCATCGCGTGCGTGGGTCCCCGGGCTGGGTTGACGGGCAGGTGCCCGCGCTCTGTGCACTCTTGAATTCCCAAGAATGG